TCCATACCACATAGATGGAGAATAAAAGAAATGTGACTCAATTCATTTTAATAGGTCTTACACAGAACCCCAAAATGTGGAAAGTATTGTTTGTGGTATTTTTGGTTCTATACACGGTAACACTCTCAGGCAACCTGCTCATTGTGGTTACCATCACCACCAGCCACACTCTGAACTCCCCCATGTACTTCTTCCTGGCCCACCTTTCCTTGATAGACACAATTTATTCTTCTTCTTCAGCTCCTAAGCTGATTGTGGACTCACTTCACAAGAAGAAGATGATCTCCTTTAATGGGTGTATGGCTCAAGTCTATGCAGAACATATTTTTGGTGCTGCCGAGATCATCCTATTGACGGTGATGGCCTATGACCGCTATGTGGCCATCTGCAAACCTCTGCACTGTGCGACTGTCATGAACCACAGGCTGTGCATTCTCCTGCTGGGAGTGCCCTGGACTGGAGGATTTCTCCGTGCAACCGTTCAGATCCTCTTTATGGTCTGGCTGCCCTTCTGTGGCCCCAATGTAATAGATCATTTCATGTGTGACTTGTACCCTTTGTTGAAACTTGTCTGCATGGATATTCATACCCTTGGTCTCGTTGTTGCTGCCAATAGTGGGTTCATTTGCCTATTAAACTTCCTCCTCTTGATGGTCTCCTATGTGGTCATCTTGTGCTCCCTAGAGAACTATAGCTTGGAGGGGAGGCACAAAGCCCTCTCCACCTGTGTCTCTCACATCACAGTAGTGGTCTTATTCTTTGTGGCCTGCATATTTGTGTATCTGTGCCCAGTGACCACTCTGCCCATTGATAAAGCTGTGGCTCTCTTTTATACTATCGCGGCCCCGATGTTAAATCCCTTAATCTACACCCTCAGAAATGCAGAGGTGAAAAATGCAATAGGAAACTCTGGAGGAAAAAATTGACTTCAGATAATGATTAAGCATAATTATTGAGCACCGCAGATAGAAGTATTAGAGGTAATTTAGTCCAAGCCTCTTGATCTACAGACGAAGACACCAGCTATAACAAGAGGTTAGATAATGGTTGCAGATAGCCACTTCAGCACAGAGCTAAAGCTCGGACTGGAATCCAGACTTGCTGTCTCCCATCCTACACTCTTGTCATCACAACTTACTGCTTCTTAATCAATAAATATTTATCTATTACCTGGAAATCTGAAATATCTTCAGAAGCTAAAAGCTGTGACCTTAGAATATTGGATTGGTATTAAAATAATCTTATTATGTAACACTGAGATGTTGGTTATGACTGATTACTGAAAATAACATGTTCAATGATGTTCCTTTACTTTGGACTCTGGCCTCAATATAATATAAATTCTTTCCTTTGTGAATTTTTTTGTTCATTAAATCTTGGTTGCAGAGTAAAAAGAAATACTGTTTATCAAATGCCTATAAGGCTGACATTGTATTAGATATTTTCTATATTGTTTCAGTCAGGGTCCAATCAGGAGACAGACCACATAGTAATTTGAACAGGATAAGTTTACATATGATTATTAATTAAATCAGGGCATTGACTAGAAAGGTGTAACAAGTACTCTAAAGAATGCCCTGAGATTGAGAAATGAGTATCCAAGGAGTGATCCCATTTAGAAGGTCGAACTCCTCACCAAGGCTGGGATTCCACTCTTTTGGAGGAGGTCTACTTGTTCCTCATTGGATAGTAGATAAGTTCTCTGCGCTGTCATGGGCCAGAACTAGTTCCTGGCAGCTGGCAGGCAAGAAAGGGACTGGCAAGCTGGGAGCCTCCCACTGTGGAGCTTATGGGCTGAGCTGGTGAGCAAGGAACTGTGGCTTGGACTGCCAAGCAGGAAACAACCTCTAAGGTACAGGTGGACCAACGCTGGCAGAAAACACTCTACTATGGTGCAGACCAGCTGTGTTGGGAACCTGATCTCTTGGGTGTCTGTAGATTCACTGGAATCTGACCGCAGAGGTGCCACTGAAACTCAGTGGGAAACTGTCCATGGATGTATCAGTGTCAGCACCACTATATGTGTCTCCTGCTCCCTGACCTCCCAGAAAAAGAATACAGATGCTGTTGGAAGCTATATCGTCAGAGCAAGATGAAAAGAGAAGCGTATTCAAAACATCATTACTCAGACGACTGTCAAGCTTTTTTTTTTGAATGTTTTCTTCTAGTGGTTTTATGGTTTCAGGTCTTATGTTTAAGTATTTAATCTATTTTAAATTGATTTTTGTATGTGGTGTAAGATAAGTTTCCAATTTCATTCTTTTGCATGTGAATATCCAGTTTCCCCCCCATTTATTGAAAAGACTATTCTTTCCCCTTTAAGTAGTGTTGGCACCCTTATCAAATATTAATTGACTGTATATGAAAAGGTTTATTTCTGGGTTCTCAGTTTTGCTTCACTGATCTAGTTGTCTGTTTTTATGTAAGTACCATACCATTTTGATTACTATAGCTTTGAAACAGTTTCAAATCAGAAAGTGGAAATGTGATGCATTCAGCTTTGTTCTTCTTTCTCAGGATTGGTTTGATTACTTGGGTCTTTGGTGGTTTCATACATATTTTAGGATTGTTTGTTCTATTTCTGTGAAAGATGTCATTGGAATTTTGATAGGGATTTCATTGAATCTGTACATGGCTTTGGGTATTATGGACATTTTAACAATATTAATTCTTCCAGTCCATGAACACATGATTTCATTTATTTGTGTTTTTTCAAATTTCTTTCATCAATGTCTTATAGTTTTCACTGTAGAGATCTTTCACTTCCTTGGTTAAAGTTATTCTGAAGTATTTTATTCTTTTTGATGCTATTGTAATTGGTATTATTTTATCAATTTCCATTTTGTACAGTTTATTGTTGGTTTAACGAAATGTAAGATTTTTGTATGTTGATTTTGTATCCTGTATCTTTAGTGAATTTATTTATTAGTTCTAACATTTTTTGGTGGAGTTTTTAGGGTTTTCTACATATACAATCATATTATCTGCAAACAGATAATGTTACTTCTTTCTTTCCAATTTGGATGCTTTTTATTTCTTTTTCTTGTCTGATTGTTCTTGCTAGTACTTCCAGCACTATGTTGAATAGAAGTGGTGAGAGTGGGCTTCCTTGTTTTGTACCAGATCTTAGAGGAAATGCTGTCAGTTGTTCCCATTGATTATCATGTTAGCTGTGGGCTTTTCATAAACAGTCTTTATTGTGTTGAGGAAATTCCTTCTAATTCTATTTTGCTGAGAGTTTTTATCATTAAAGGGTGTTGAGCTTTGTCAAATGTTTTTTCTGTATCTATTAAGATGATTATGTGGTTTTTACCTTTCATTCTGTTAACGTAGTGTATCACATCGATTTACATATTTTAACCAATCTTGTATCCCAGGGGTTAATTCCAATTGGTGTTGGTGTATAATCTTATGGATGTGTTGAATTCAGATTGCTAGCATTTTATTGAGGTATATTTCTCTCTCTTTTTTTTTTGTGAGGAAGTTTAGCCCTGAGCTAACATCTGCCAATCCTCCTCTTTTTGCTGAGGAAGACTGGCACTGGGCTAACATCCATGCCCGTCTTCCTCCACTTTATATGGGACGCCGCCACAGCATGGCTTGACAAGTGGTGCGTTGGTGTGCGCCCGGGATCCGAACAGACGAACCACGGGCCGCCGCAGCAGAGTGCGCGCACTTAACTGCTTGCGCCACCGGGCCGGCCCCGAGGTATATTTCTTATTCGTAATCTTTGACGAATAAAATTTTTGAGTCCTTGCATGTCTGAAAATGTATTCATTTTATTCTCATTCTCATAGCAGGTGAAGATTAGAGACAGAAGAGTCTTGGACAACACCCTGTTTGCCTGGGTGTTATTTACATATTGCATGATATAGAATTAAAGGTTCCAATTATTTTCCTTTGAGAACATTAAAGACTTTTTTCCATTAAGTCCCAATTTCTAGTTTTGTAGATAAAAAGTCTGACATCAGGCTGATTTTTCTTTCCTTCATGGCCTGTTTTTATTTTATAGATTTAGTGTTCTACTGAATTCCCAATAATGTACCAATTGATAATTTTAGAATTCTATTTTGGGATCATTTTTTTGTTTTCTTCCTAAAAATATCAAAACGGCCATGGGTCTTTTGAGAGACCACTGATGACTACCCAAGGCTGACTGAATCATATTCTCCCTAGGTGATGTCTAATAATTTTATAGCTTTAATTGCCATCTATATGTTCAAGACTCCTACATTTCTCTGACCTTATCTTTCTGAGAATCAGAAATATATATCCAATTGTATATAGCTACTTGGATCTCACTCAGCACATTAAAAAACACATTTACCTTCTCTCTGTTCCATCCATCCAGTAATCCAAGCCAGAAACTGGGTGTTATCCATGACTCATCTGTCTCTGATCTTCATCTGCTATCAAGTTCTTTTGTTTATAACTCCTAAATATTTCTAAATCCTTCTCTATCTCTCTGTTAGTTTGGGTTCCCTACATGGAGACTCACATGGGGATTTTTATGAAAGTGACTTATAAGCAGGAGAGGTTGAGGGAAGCTGGCTATGGTAGGGGAAAGAAAAGATGTGGTCTCAATTGGAGTCAGGCTTTATCTGGAGCCACAGGAGCCCTGGAGTATACATTGTGCTACAGAACTAGTTCCACCTTGAAGCAAGGGGACTGGCCTTTTTTACTCCCACTCGTGTCATTCGTTGGCCACTGGTAGGTCCTGGGATGGTGGGGCTGTGAGCTGTTAGCAGCCCAAGGACACAGCAGGAGGGGACATGGGTGCACTGTTCCTGGTGATGCAGATTAGAGCTCGACACAGCAGTGTCCACCAAACTCTGCATTTTCCCTGGAACCACCAGAGATCAGGCCTCCATTCTTTCACATCCAAATCATTACAGCAACCTCCTAACTGCTCTCTTGCTGTCAGTCTTGTCCCCTGCAAACCATTTCCCCTACTGTAACTAGAGTTATCATTCTAAATCTCAAATCTAACTACATCCTTCTCTAGCTTAAAAAACTTTTCAATGTTTTCTCCATGCTACTTAGCATTGAGCCTTAACACAATTGTGAAACCCTTTGTGATCTTCCCTCTTCTTGTCTCTCCAGCTTCATGTCTTGCCCTTTATCCTTTTACAAGCTCAGTGTCCAGCATGGGGCCCAGCACACACTGGGGGTTCAGTAAATAATTGTAGAATGAAAGGATGAACTAATAGCCACAGCCCTGTTGAATTGATTAGGTTTTCTGCATACTGGTTTTTACCTCCTGGACTCTGTTACATATTCCACCCCCTAGGATACTCCCCTTCAACCTCGCGCCTATTCACTCTGCCAACCAACTTCTCTTCATCTGTTGGGCCCCATTTTTGACAGCTTTTCCTCTAGGAATCTGTTCCTGAGCCTGCAGGTCTTTGTTCTGCGTCCCTCCCGTGCGGTTTCATAGCACCTGTGCGTCCACTATGTTATTATTTCTAATACTCGTAACTTTCTGCTCCCTCCTGGGAGCTTTTCAATGGATACTAAGCTCTGTGAACCTAAGTCTCTTTTTATTCACCACTGATCCTCAGCAACTATCAGTGTGCCTGACACATTCCATGGGCTCAAAAGTATTTGTACATTAATGAATGAAGGATGGAGGAATGAAAGGAATATATTTATCCTGAAGTTGCTTTGGGTATATATGGACCAACATATTTTTAAAAACAGCTTTAAATAATGAAATGTTACCAAAAAGTATACTGATTAACAGAGAATATAAAAAATAGCTCATATTAATAAGGTAATAAATTCTCAGAGCAGGGAGAAAATGAAGGTAAACTATTTGCTAATATGCAAGAGAATTATAGTTTCAATTTCTTTCTCATCCTCAGTTTAAGCAAGAGTAAAAACAAACCGTAGTTCCCCCAAGGGTTCTAGGCATAATTCTCTACTTAGACTTGAATC